CAGGTGCCACCTCCTCTCCATGAGGCTGCCACGAGCCCTGGCCCTCTGCACCTCCTCTACCCTGAGCTCCTTGGCAGGACGGGCTGGGTCTCCCTGCACTGTCCAGCAGTGACGCCCAGTCCCCCAGGCAGCCCAGCTTTTCTCTCCCCTACTGTGAGCTTGTCTCCACCACTAGGTCCTCAGTATGTGTTGTCCCGTTTCAGAAAGTAGCAGTAACGGGGAAGGAGGAAGCGGGCACTCAGGATGCAATTCCACACAGAGTTCCTGAGCTGCGGCGCGTGAGGTCTGGCCCAGCCTGGCCTCTGCCCGCAGGAGCTCATGGTCTGCTGGGGGCTGGGGGGATATAAATAGGTGTACCACGAGGAGGGATGGGCTCGTGGAAGGGGTGCACAGCGTTCATGGGAGCAGAGAGGAGGGGCTCCCCTCTCAGACCAAACATGGCAGGGAAAGCAGTGCCTGGGCTGAATTGAGAAGGGGGCAGTGTCAGGTCCACAGGCAGGACAGGAGCAGGGTGACAAGGGAGGGGCGGTGAAGGGGGTGGGATGCATGGAGGATGGTAAAGGTTTGGGAGTGGAAGGAAGGCTGAGCCTTGGACATGAGGTCCAGAAGTGGGACCTGTGGGGAATTGCCGAGAAGCCTCCACACCTGGGTCAGAGGTCTGCACGGAATGGGGAGGGACGCTGTGACCAGCCTTTGAGCTGGCCTGCGTGGGAGGTCTGACAAGGGGCACAGTGGTTCAGGCAGTGAATCGTGAGAGAACTGCTGGTTCAAGGGACCCCAGGCTGCAGGCTTGCAGCTGCGGGCACCAAAGGAAATCTCATCCCCCATACAAGGTGTAAGAAAGGCCTTCCCCAAAATAAGCCACCAGCCATCAGCCACTATCACCTTCTCTTCTCTCAGCTCTTTGAGGGGCTGAGCCCAGCCATCCCTAGCAGGGGTCCCAGGGAATCCCAAAGGACAGGGTGGGAGGTCGCTGGAGGGGACACTGGGCTGAGGAGCCGCCTACCAGAAGAGTGTCCTCATACACGTAGCCGTAGTAGGGCGTGCCCACAAAGACAGGGGCTGTGTCCTGAATGTCCTCCACATTGACTGTGACAGTGGTGGTGGCTGAGAATACCACATCAGCTCCTCGCAGCCTCCCCCCGCCATCCTGGGGAAGAATCAGGGGCCACAGAAGGACAGTGAAGATGTGCTGAGCTCTGGAGTCAGACAGACCCTGTTAGAATCTGCTACTCACTGGCTGTGAGGCCGGCTGCCCTCTCTGAGTTTCTGTTTGCTCCTGTGTCAATGGGAGTTAATTCTCCCCCCACAGGGCTATTGGGAAAATTAAATGAGATGATGCCTGGTCTTTAGTCGGTGCCTGGCATGCAGGAGGTGCTCAAAAGTGTTCCTTTGGAAGCAGGGTTAGCTCTCTCCAGGGAAATCATGTCAGAGGAGCGGCAGAGCAGGAAGGGGTCAGACCCAAACTCCCCCTCCTGGCCAGGAATCAAGCCTCTAACCCATCCCGAGGACCTACTGCGTGCTCAGCCTGTGCTGGGTGCCAGGGGTCCCACAAGAGCATGACCCGGGCCCTGCGCTCAAGTGTGTAAGTGTGTAAGAGAGGTGTGCACCAAGCTGAACCCTCACAGAGCAACCGGCAGGCAGGGTCTTCTTGGGCCTCGTGGTCCAGGCTGGAGTGGGATGGCCTGTAGCCAATATGTGACCAGCAAGGGCCTTCCTGCAAAAGGAAATGCTGGGCCTAGAGGCATCGCTCTACGGATGCTGGCTTTCATGCTCTCAGGGGGAAGAGCTTTGGCTGAGCACCTGTCAACTTCCAGTTTCCACTCCATATACTTCAGAGAGAGGAGGAACTTAGTTAAGCTTCAGAGGTGGAAAGATGGGGAAACTGAGGCTCAGAGAGGGTAACTGGATGCACAGAGAGGAGAAGATGGGGTGAGCAAGCATGGCCAGAGAGATGGAGGTGCCTGGAGGCCATATGCTGGGGGATGTGCAGGGACACAATTCTCCTGGCCATGGCCACCAGGGTGTGTAAATCCACCCCCAGAAGGGACCGTGTCCTCTCTGTTCTCCAGACTGGCCCCTCCTTTGTAGAATCTAACTCTGTTCCAACCCAAGGCATGAGGAAAGACTGGATGCCCCCCTTTCCTCCTCCTGTTACCTTGGCGACCACAGTGACAAAATGGGTCCGGGACTTCTCGTAGTCCAGAGTGGCCCCAGCCTGGAGGCGCAGCACACCACTGTGGCGGTCCATGGCAAATTTTGTGGAATGCGGGTTCTGTAAGAATGGGGGAGGGGCAGCTGCCTAGGAGAGGCTCACTGAAGGGGTCCCCCCCACACCCCTTGTCATAGGAACCCTAGTCTTGGGGCTGAGGTTCAAACTTCAGGACACCCAGTACTTCTGACCCAGGACCCTCAGCCCTCCCCAGGAGAAGGCCCGGGCACTTTGCACCCACACGCGGTGTAAGCCTCCTGTGTGGGCCCGGAACAGTTAATAGGAAAAAGGGCAGAAGGGGCAATTCTCAAAAGAAGCCAAGCTCTGAGGCCACGGCCCTCACCCCCGTCCATCCATGCCGCCCTGACAAAGGTGGCGGACCCCTCCCTGCACCCCAATCCCTCCTGCGTCTCCCGGGAGCCCTGCCTCCGTCACACGGCATGACCACACATGCTCCACGTGCCCTGCCTTACCTGCAGGAAGTAGGTGACACTCCCTCCAGAGCCCGTGTCCTTGTCCACCGCATGGACCTTAAAGATGCTGCTCCCGGCAGGAATGTCCTGAAGGGTCACAGCCACAGGGAAGGGTGAGAGGCAGTGACAGGATGCTTAGGGAGCCAGAGGCGCAGGGGCCATGGAGAGGGTTAAAAAAGGGGGGAGTGGAGGGCTAAAGAGAGGGGGAAGGTGGGAGGGAAGTGTGGGGGGACAGCACCAGGCGGGTGCGGGACAAGGGAAAGGGAAGCGGGAGCAGAGACGTGGTGGGGGCTGAGGGTGCCCTCAGGGGGAGAGTGAGAAGAAAAACCAGGGCCCCAGATAGATGACAGGGTTAGACATGAAACAGCGATTCACCAGTGACAACACGGTCATAAGCGCGGACGTATTTAGGCTCATCAGAGATCATGTACATTCAATTCAGCGCAAGAGGAAGTATCTCCCACTGAATTAGCAAACACTCCAAACGGTGAGAATTCCCAGGGTTGGCAAGGGACAGGGGAGACGACACCCCTCCTTTGTTTCAGGAGAGGATGCAAACAGGTGCTGTTCTGGAAAAGCAATATGGCACCGCCCCACAGGCGGTCAGGTTTTGGACCCAGTCATTTCAACTCTTGGATTGTATCTAAAGGAAATAATCCTAATTAAAGAAAAAAAACTTATGCTCAGAAATTGGTGTTTCATGTGACAGCAAAAACTTAAAGCACCTTAAATATCCAAACATAAGGGAATAGTTCAGTGCATGACAGAACGTTCAGTTGATAGAAGCTATTGAAACCATAGTTACCCAAACTTTACAATTAGTGAGGAAAATGCCTATGTTATCAATTAAGTGAAAAATAGGATATGGAAAGCGTATGTTTAGTATAACCATGACTATGTCAAAAAAACAGAAAATAAACCACCCAATAATCACAAAAAAGATCAGAAGAAAATACACCAAAATTTAACAATGTCTCAAGTTGCAGGGATTGAGGAGGATTTTTAAAACTCTCTTCCTTATTTTTCTACATATTTCACATTTCTGCAATAAGCATGCTCACCACTGTAACGGGAAGTAGCGAGCGAGTGATCCTCTGGAATAGAAATGAAGGTGGGGAGGGTGGCGAAGAAGCTCTTCAGAGGGCAGGGAGTGGGGACAGGAGCTCTGCTCTCCAGCGCCCGGTCCCCTGGGCCAGGTCATAGGGCAGCCCTGGGGGCAGGAGGGCTTGGGGCAGGAGTATTGTCCTGCCTGGCCCCTCACTCACCTCGGGAACCAGGACAACATAAGGCTCATGCATGAACTTGGGCGCCTCGTCATTAGCATCGGTCACAAGGATCACAACTTTTTCTGCCACCTGAGAAGGGGCAGAGGGGTCAGGAGTTAGGCCAGTGAGACCTTCCGGGGATAAAAGGATGGTGGCCTCTGATACCCCCGGGTACACGTCTCTGTCCACTCCTCCTCTCCCGCTCCCTCCCTTCTTTCCTTCTTTGATTTATTCATGCCACAAATATGATTAAGCAACTTCTGGGTGCCAAGCGAGTTCCTGGAGACAGAAGACACAGTCTGGTGGCGTGTTACTTTGTAGCGGTCACAGAGGCTGGGATATGGGGCAAAGATCAACAAATAAAAGATCATTGGACAGATAACAGCGGTATTCCAGGCACCCAGGACAGGGCCCCCGAACCGCACCACTCCAAGGCCCATGAGCGGCCGGGCTGTGTCAGTGCATCCCTCGGGGGTGTGCATGGAAGAGGCATCTACCCGGGCTGTGGTGCTAGACAGCGAGGAGGCTTCTCCGAGCAGGGAGAAGTGAGCCCTGCAGCGCGTTTGCCAGAAGGGGAAGGGAGAGGTGGGAAGGCGTGCTAGGAAGAGGGGGCTGTGTGCGCAAAGGCAAGGGGGAGGGAAAGGCCAGGTGAGTGCAGGGAACGCGGTAGGTTTACAGCTAGGTGGTCAGGAGAGCAGGTGTGAGGAAAGGGGGGCGCTGCAGCTGGTGCCCAACAGGAGGCGCTGAACACCAGACAAGCTGGCGTTTCATCCTGCAGGTGGCAGGAGCCAGCTGTTGGCGCTCTCTGTGCTGCAGACTGGCCAGATCTACCTTCCACAGTGACATCTCTGGTGGCACTTAGAAGGCAGATTGGGGCAGAGGAGACTGGGGGCCCCCATCAGTCATCCCGGGAAGCACTGATAAGGGCAGGGGAAAGAGGCGGCGGTGGGGAAGGGGGTGCAGAGAGAAGAGCACCTGGGTGCCCAGATGTGTAGCTCGGGCGACTGGGCAGGACTCGGAGGTGCACATGGGAAGGGCAGGGTTGAGGTGCTGTGCAATGGGGTTGGACCCACCAGAAGTTCTGTGGACAGAGCCTGGTCTCTCCATCCCCTACTTTCCTTCCTTTCCTTCTGACCTCGCTGCAGCCCTCTCCTGGGGCGCTTGGGACAGGTCTCACTGGGCCCTGACTTGGGGTTGCCCGGGAGCCCCCAGGAGGGCTGGGGAGAAACCGTGCCAGGCCGGAATGTGGCATGCTGCCAGGCCGGGCTGTGCACTCACCAGATTCAGGCCGTCGGAAATGCTGATGATGGCTTCAATCTCGTCCTCCCTCTGTGAAGCATAGGGACTGAATGAGTGTCCAAGAGTCCGACACACCACAGGGACCCCCGAGGCTGGGGAAAGCTCTCCCTGTCCCACATACCCATCAGAGGGGATCTGGGGTGCCAGGAGAGTTCTGAGCAGGGCAGGGTGGTGGCGACAGTATGCCCACTGCAGCCTAAAGCTGTCTCCCACCGTGCTTGAGACCTTGCGTTTCAGGGGTTCTCATAACCCAGAGGGACTGCTGAGGCTCCAACAGAAAACACCCTCTTACAGGGGCAAGGAGAGATGCCAGCCGCAGCGTGCGGAGGTCTCAGGAAAAAGACTTTTTCTTTTTTCTTTTTCTCTGTCTCTCCATGCCTTTCCACATTCCACGGTTCTGCAGAGGTCTGTGTCTATTGTGCCTCAAGTGCTCCCCAGGACATGGTGGGACTTCAGTGACAAGGGGTGTGGGAGGTCCCCAGGTCCCCATGTGTGCTGGGGCAGGTGTGCTGGCAGCACTGTGTCCTCCACCACTGTGTCCCTACAGTAGACTCTGCGACTTCCCTTTCCTTTCTCTTCCCTGGATTCTGTCATCGAACCAGAGCTGGCAGCAGCCCCCCAGCTGAGGTCCAGTTATGTGCCAACTAGGTCGACTGGACAGGTGTGGGGTCCCAAAAGGGAAACGGATCCCATGCCTTGTCACCACAGGTTCAGAAAGGTACAGAAGGGAGGAGTTTTACCAAACTCAGACCCACTCTCTCAACCACTCTTTCTGATCTGCCATCTGAGCTTCCTGTGGCTTACAGGACCTCTCCGAGGACAGACTTGAACAATCACTTTATGGGGTTTCTTTCACAAACCTCAAAGTACAAGCAGGCTTATTTTTTTATTGAACATGCTTCAAGGATTTGCAGGGCTGGCAGGTGCTCATTAAAGGAGTCCCACTATTCACTGTGACAGTAAAGCCTCCTCAGCTAATGAGAAGAGACTAGAGATCCTGCAGAGTGGGTGTGCCTGGGGCGGCCACCTCCGTCGCCTACTCGGCAGGGGAGAGTCTCACGAACACCCACGTGCTCTGGGGGACCTTCCAGCTCACAGAGGCCTGACTGCAGGCCCTGCACCTCCCCGTACCTCTCTGTCCAGCTCTTCAACCAGGGTGATGTCTCCAAAATTGGGGTCAATGGAAAAGACGCTTCTAGCACTGGGGTCAAAGCTGATGTGGTAGGAAACAGGGTCTCCTTCCGGGTCTGTCCCGTTCAGAGTGTACACATGAGAGCCTGAAAGGAGACACAGGGGAAACCCAGAACCTGGGACCCGACTCGGACCAGGGGCTCCACGGTTTATAGAGTGAAGATTCAACTCAGCGCCAAAGGCAGCGTCCCGGACGGGGCGCTCACGGCCGGCCTCCCCTTGCTGGCTGCCTCCCTCCTTTTGTCATTATGATTGACAAGTGTCAGATGTCACTGTCAGCGCTTTCCCCAGTGTAATCCATAACGCCCGTTACAGAGGTTGAGGCCTGCTGGGCGGGGATCCAGGGCTCCCTGGGTACGGGGCGCCGGGTAAAGGGAGCAGCCATGAGGCAGGAGGGGTGACTTGGGGTGCAGCGCTGCGCCCCGGCCTGGCCTGCTTCTCCGGGGATCTCGGAAGGCAGGCGCCTCTTTGACTCGCTCCTCCTTTTCCCCAGGCCCTCAACCCCGCCAGGCGAGAGCAGGAGCGGGAATCTCTCCTCTTTCACCTTCCTCCCCGTCTCTCTGCATATCTTAGCGAGCTGGGTGTTCTTGGGCCATTTTAAAGCCTAGAGACCTGAGGCTCAGGGAGGTAAGTCCCCCTGCCCAAGGTCACACCGCGGGTGAGGGGCAGCGCCTAATCGCCCTGCTGCAGACCGCTGGCTGCCTGCCGCCTGGGGTCCCCCGGCTCAGGGCCCGCGCCCTGGTCGGCAGGACTGGCCCGGCTTAGGTCGCCATGGCAGCGGTGACCTCTTTCTTGCCATTGCCCCCGGGAGCGCGCGCAGCTCGGCGCTCGGCGCCTCCACGGGCTGGGAGGAGTCACGGGTTGGGCACCTGCGTCCGGGGGAACGCGAGCTGCCCCCGGGAGACCTATGGGGAGCAGGTGTCAGGGATACGCACCTACAGGGGTGTCCTCAGGGAGGCTGAACAGGGCCATGTTTCCGTTGGTGCTGCCGACCCCGTTGTCGAAGAAGTGGGGAGCGAAGTTGGCCTGGGCTAGGAGAGGATCACGCAGGAGAGCACACTGGCACCGGCCCGGGAGCCTGGCACCGGCGTGGCACACACTAGGCCTGGCTGGTGGGCAGGAGCGCGGCGCCTCTGCGACCCGGGCGCACTGAGGGTCCCCGCACCCAGCCACCTACTGTGGGCACACTGGGAACCCGCTCTCAGAAACAGGCAGTTCCCAGGCCCAGGTCACCCCCGTCCCCCTGCGGTCATCGGGGCAGCCCCCAGACCTCCCGCCCTGCGTCTGGAGAAGCTGGGGGCAGCAGCGGGAGTCCCGGCCCAAGTCCCACTCTGGAAGTGGACGGTGCAGGATGATGTCCCCGTGTCCCTCCCGGGTGGCGGC